GGGCCCCAAGCCGGCCCCGAACCCGGCTCTCCAGGCCTCCGCCTCCGCCTCGCCGCTCCCTCCATCCGGGGCGCGGCGGGGTGGCGCTGCTATTTGGCGACTCCGCAACACCGCGTCCCAAAGCCGAGGCCACTGGGCCGGCCAGCTTGGTCTCCCCGGGAGCCAGAAGGCCAGGTCTCCGCGCACGGACATCGGTAGCCGCAGAGAGGCGCACGGGGAAAGCAGCCCGGAACTCCGGACCCGAGCCCTCCGAGGGCGCCTTCTCTCTAGGCGGAGCCCGGGCAGGGCGCACGTGCTGGGCGCCCGCGGCAGCGCGGCTCGGGGGTCAGGGCCGCCCCTAACGCGGCAGCTCTGCCAGCCGCGGGGCGCGCGCCGAGCTCGCTGCAGGCTGACTCGGCAGCCGCGCCTGCCCGAGAGCTCCGCCTCATTAGGGGCAACCTGTTACCCGGGAGGGGAGCCGTGCGCGGGTCCGCGGTGGGGAGCAGGACCGAGGCACCTCGGCGTAGGAGGGATTTCGCTTAAACAGGGCCTCTGGACGCCCATTTTAAGTCGATAAAAAAGCCGAGTGGAATGTTTTGATTGAGTCTCAACATTGTCTTTGAATAAGGCTGAGACCATGTAATTAATGTGTCTTTTTAATAAGGGACAATACGGCCGTTCAAGCTATTTAATTTCATTTAATTTTCCATCCCATTTGCTGCACAGCCCGCTTTTACTTTTTAACACCCAGCCTTTCACGGCCCATCTTGCTCCAGTGGGCACATTAGATTGGTTTCACCCTTGCTTTTTAGGGGAGGAAAAATAAAAGAAAATGTGTTCCTTTCCTCCTTTGTGGACAATTTATTTCACTTGGGGAACTTCAACTCTGAGCCACAGGACAGAATAAAACTCGGCGAGCTGGTGTGAATGCCTCTGGCGCAGTCTCTTTCTTCTCGCGGGGCTGGGAACCAGCCACAATTGGCTATATTAATAAATAACTTTCCTCACAGTCGGCCTTTACATGGTCCTATTGATAAAATTGTTCGCGTGTCGTTCACGCTTTTTCACTCATTAAGGAGGGCCAGGGAGGCGCCCCGAACCCAGGCCCTGCGCTGGCCCCTTCCCGCTCGCAGTGCTGGTAATTTAAACTGGGAGTCATCCCGGAGTCGCCAGGCCAGAGGTTAGAGGGACATGTTCATGGCTTAAATTTATTGCCCTCCACTCTGCGGAGTGGCTTCCTCTCCTCCTCCCCTCCTCTGGCTTTTGCCATTCATAGGCCGCGGGATCAAAGGCTCTCCCCTCTCTCCCCAGGGTAGCCTAGGAGGCCAGCAGAGGAGCTATTGCCAGGTTAAGAAGAAAACTTAGTGGCAGCTCCCTCAGAAAGTGGCACCGGTCATGGCCTGGCCTGGCACAGAAGCTGGGATGGTGGCCACTGAGACTTATGCAGGGGATATTTTGTGTCCTAGCAGCCATGTCCACATAGGTACTGGACTGGCCCTAAGTCTGGCTTTCCAGGTGTCCCTGCATGGTCTGACTTGAGATTTGGAACTTAGACCTGGCCTAGATTCTCAGATGGCTCCAAACCAAACACTTTGGTGCTTTCAGGATGCTATAGGTGCTGTAGCAGACCTTCCACAAACAGACAGTGAAAGGAAGCCAAATGCCTGTCTGCAGCCAACAGTCCCATTTTATAGATTAGGTGACTGAGACTCTGAAGTAATTCACAGAAGTCTTGAATTGGCAATGCACTGACTGAATGACTCTGAAGTCTCCTATTTCCAATGTGGCAAGCACATGTTTCAAACCAGCTACCATGAGCTTCTTTGAGAGCCCTCCTTAGACAAACTGTAAAGTTACAGAAGTTGCCACCCATGTCCTGCTCTGCGGTTAACCAGAGTCCCTCCTGAAGGTGAGACAAGTGCACCTTCCCTGGCAAAGCCGCCTAAAAAGGCAGTGTGGGCGCTGCAGGGGGAGGGTTCCTCTGCCCTTTTGTATCTTTTTTGACCCCAGGTGGGAAACCCAGCACCGCCCAGGCCTCTGAGAACTGTGTGGGGGCTCCAGGGCTGGCTGCTTAGGATTTGGGGAAGGCTCCCAGTTCTAGCGATGCACAGTAAGTTCCAGGGTAACTGTCACAAATATCTGATGACCTCCATCAGCCAGGCATTATTTTATGTCAATAAATGTTCTCACAAAAATAGAAGCCTTTCCAAAAAGAAAGGGTTGTGTGTATGTGTGTGTGTGTGTGTGTGTGTGTGTGTGTGTGTGTGTGTGTGTGTGTAGTCATTTTAATTCTGGTTTACCTGTCCCGTTAGCTCACCAACTGTGCGTAAGGAGAAAGTGCTCTTCTCCCAAGCCTTTGGAAAACTTCAGGCTCTTTTGCCTTTAAAATAAGTAAAATCCAGTTTGTTGGTTCTAGGGAAGGCTTTTTTTCCCGTTTTAAACTTAAAAGCAAAATTATTGGTTGGCATGTGGGGGATTCGTGATTAATAACCTGGCCCAAAGAACTACCTCTTCAATTCTCCAGCGGGTCGACGGCGCAGGATCCTTTGTGAATCCTTTGGCTCTGTGGCCGCGTCCCATTCTCCAGACAGAGTGCGGACCTTAGAGCGGACCGTGTAACCGTGCTGCACAGCTGACCTCAAACTGGTCCGGAGGTTTCCTAGTTCGGGGCAAAACGGGGCAGAAGGAGCAATTAAAGCAGTTCTAAATAGACACTGGCCTGAACCCAATCCCCTGAAATGGTAATATGGTCGTTATTTAAAAAGTGTAGGTATTTTCTGGTGCCTTCCCATCAAGTACCTGCCTAATTTCTGTATGGCACACGCCAGAAATCAATAGAAGTTAACAAGTCCTCCAAACAGTACCCATCTCTTTGTTTAATCTCCTTTACAATAAAGCCAAGGGGAGAGAATTAAAAATCTTTGAAGTAGACCAAGGCTCAAAGGAATCAGCCAAGTAGACTTAAAGTAGTCACTTATTTCCCAAAACTGGTTTGTCGGCGAACAATAAAAAGAAGTAAAATTTATGGAGAAATTATACAGTGGATTTGTCACTTAAAATATCGTAACTGTCTGGAGGACAATACCCCATGCTGAGGATTAATGGTCCCGCCGGACCTTTGATTCACCAGCGCCTTTTCTTCGCCCTTGACAAATTGGATTTTTAGGAATGGGAAGGTCGCCTGGACCATTGTGTGCTAGCCATTCAGAGCCCTCGATTATGCAGGGGGCTGAGGGAACCACTCCATGTGACCCTCTCGGGTGGGACTGTGCAGCTGCTTCGCAGCGCAACTCTCTCACCAAACTCCGCGCCCTTGCGCTCGCGGTGCCAAAAGGCGCCCGCCCCGATTGAAAAGGCGCAGTGCATGCCCGTCCGCGTCACTCCGCGGGCGGAGGACGCACGTCGGGGCGCGGCTCCCTGGCTCGCTTGAGGCTCGGGCTCTGACACTCGCGCCTTGCGGAGGACCCCGCAAGCCCCAGCGCCTGCCTGGAGGCAAAGGCAACAATGCAAGGAGCCGCCCGCGCTCCGGCCACCAGCGTGAGCGCCGACTGCTGCATCCCGGCCGGCTTGCGCCTGGGGCCGGTGCCCGGCACCTTCAAGCTGGGCAAGTACCTGTCAGATCGCAGAGAGCCCGGGCCCAAGAAAAAGGTACTGGACATTCCGACCTCCGCCCCCTGCTGTTCGCCTCCCTCTTCCCTGACCCAGGAACGCAGCAAAGAGGGGAAGAGGAAGAACGGGTGGTTGAGGTTTACCTGCTAATCCTGCCCCGTAGAAGGGAATTCCGATTTTTCCTAGCAAGTTTCATTAACTGCGAGCTGCACTGAGGGCTGGGCGGAGGGGTTAAGTCGTGGCTGAGAGGAAATAGCCCCCGATTGCTATGCCCCGGCTTTCTATACCGCAACCTTTCGAAACTAGCGGTTTCCCCAGAGCTCTGGGAGCTGTTAGTAAGTGTCCAAGGACCTCCCCACCCCCGCCCCTGTCCTTGTCCCTGAGGCGAATGCATCCTTCCTGCAGGGGCACAGGGCGTCGAGGACTTTTCTTCCGTCTTCCCTTCTGTACATTAATTTGAGGTTTAAATGTGTCTTTAAATAATTTAGTCCCATTTTTTCCGAAAAGATCATCCGTGGGAGGTGCTCAGTTTCCGAAATCTCCCCAGGTTTTTCATTGGTTTGCTTGTGGGTTTGGAGTAAATGGAGACCGGGTGGTGGCCCTGCAGCAGGCTGAAAGAACAGGGGCTCCCACCCGCATGGGGCACAGGGTCAGCATGCCTGAAGCCGGGCTTTGAGATACTGGGGTCCCAACCAGGGGACATCCAGGGACAACCCTCCAGTTCTGATTCCCTGATCATTGTCACTAACCAGAGAGCGGATTTAAAGGCTCTCACCGGCCCTGGGGGTGCGTCCCAGCACAGGGCGAAGGAGAGAGGCAGAAGTCTGGAGGAAAAGAGGACTTGGCTCTAGCTGCTTCCTAGTCGGAGGTAGCTCTGGGGTCCAGCATCTCTCTCCTCTTGCAGTCAGTCCTCTTGGCCCAACATCCCGGTCTAACCTCTTAAAACGCCACACCTGCCTCATAAAAAGGCCAGCGAGCTGTGGGTAAGATTTCTTTGGATCCCCTTCGTTCCCAGAATCTCACTGCTGGGCTCACTTGCACCTAGCTTCGGTCCTTTGAGAACTGTGAGAAGTGCGAAATGGGGCCAGGACTAAAGGACACTGCACTGACTTCCAGAGGTCTCTCCGTGGCAGGGCTGCTTTCAGAAGTGCAAATGGCAGAGGTGGGGTAGGGGTAGGAAATGTGTTAGTACCAGATGAGCCCAGGTGCTCAGGGAGGATGCCATCATCTTGCTGCCAAGGTGGATGCTGCCAAGGTGGTAGTGGTGGTGAGGCTGTTGTATTAGCCAGCCACCCCTTTTCTCCATCCTCAGAGCTAGTGCCCCAAGGAATTATCCTCTTCTCTGCAGTTTATAGCGGTCTGGCTAAAGGGAGTGGGAGCTTTTCCTGAGTCCGGTGGGGGTGAGGCATAAACTTTCCCTCTTGGGTGTGGGCCTGGCCAAGGTGCGGGAGAGAATGACTGCTGCTTGTGTTGCAGGTGCGCATGGTGAGAGGGGAGCTGGTGGACGAGTCGGGGGGCTCCCCTCTGGAGTGGATAGGGTTAATCCGGGCAGCCAGGAGTCCCCAGGAACAGACTCTGGAAGCTATTGCAGACTTACCTGGAGGACAGGTACTGTGGGCTCTCCCCCAACCCCACCCCTGCCAATTCTACCTAAACATCAGGAGGGTGGCCAACGACATGAAGAGTGAAGCGCTTTAGTTACAGGTCTCAGGTAAAGGTCCTGTGACTCTGTAAGGTAGATACTACTGTGCTGTTTTCTGCTTTGAAGACTGAAGGAAGTGAGGCTCAGAGAGATTCTGTAATCATCAGAGTCAGGGTCTGAACCTTTCTTTGCGGTTACATTTTGATCAATAACCCAGGAAATGACAGCGAGCTTTCCTATTGCTTGTCTCCCAGATCTTCTACCGGGCACTACGAGATGTCCAGCCAGGCGAGGAGCTGACTGTGTGGTATTCCAACTCCTTGGCTCAGTGGTTTGACATCCCCACAACTGCTACCCCCACGCATGATGAGAAAGGTACCGCCTCTGAGGAGGCCTCCAGGCCAGAGTGGGTGGGTGAGACTCCCACTCTCCTTCTGTCTTGGGGTCCTGTGGGGAGGAGGTGTCCCCAGACTCGAGGGGTTTTTCTTTCCAGGTGTGTAAAACTGAATTCCTGCTCCCTTCTTAGGCACAGAGAATACCCACCACTATCCCCTTAAAATCAACAATAACTGGTTAAAAATGAGTGACGGTAGCAATCTTGCTCATGATGGAAGGGAAAATTACTCTTTATGAACTTCATAGGCTGGTCCTTTCCCATCACATATGCACAGTAACAACTATTTACTCAATTAAGACTCAATAAAGGGGACTTACAATTTGTTACAGTAATTACACGAGTTCCAGATATTTTTACGAGATGGAAAAGTATCTCTTCACTGGTTTTCCGGGACAGCAATGTATGGCTACAGCATATTAGAAACATTACGGTACTTACTGCTGGACAGTTGGCAGGTACTAAGGTCCTTCCTGCTAAATGGTACTTATTCATTTCTCCCTCCCTACTTAAATTGAACCTGGGATGTATCCCAGTTTCTTCTCAGATTTATTCGATCCCTTCCAAAGCCAAGAGTGGATTTATGCAAATTAAGGTGCAGCAACTAAAGAGAAAAACATTTTCAAACCTTAGCTAGAACACTAAGAACACTTCCCAGGGAAAGAAGAAGGCTCTGAGATGCTAAGATAGTTAAGGTCTCCAGTCTCCCTTTTCAGATACAAAGCTTCTGTATCTTTCTTTTTTCCTTGCCAGTTGTTTTAGTTTGTCTGTAATTTCTCATAAAGGCCCATTTATCATTTAGAGTCACCATCATGAATGCTGTAAAATATTCTAACATGATCTCTTCCGGAATTGCTGCTCAATTTTATCCTTTAGAAAAAGGTACAAAGAAATTAATAAACATGGGAATTAGGAAACACTTCATGAATAAGACAGAATGAAGTTTATTCAGAATGGTGAATCACTTCCCTTCAAATATATCTCTGTTCTCTGTAAATTAATTCTATTTGTGAAGATCTGAATGCACAATATTCATGAAAATTATCCTCATGTAGTTTGCTCCTTGGATGACATGATCAAACTCTCTTGTCAACTTCTTCTAGTAAAAGCAAAATATAAGAGCCTCATTTTGGCAAACTCTCAAATCTGGTAGTGCGGAACAGTTTGGAAAGCACTGGTATTTAGGGCCTGACATTTCTGTCCAGAACCCCTTTTCTTAGGTACCCCCAAATAGTACAAAAGCAACTTGTTTGAGTACTGGCCCTTACGTTTTTATTTCAGCCAACTGATTTTATAAACATCATATGGCAACATGAAAAAGCAACCACCATTTTCCTTTTGGAAGAAGGATAAATTATTTTGAATCTGATGTTTCTATCTTAGAGATGCTGAAATTTTGACTGTTTCAGAATTGTATGAAGGAAAGAAGGTAAAGTCACTTATGAAGTGTGTTTCCTACACTTGGCATGAGTTGGATCTCAGAGTTCATAGAATATACTGATTAGGATGAACTGAAAGATACACTGAGTCAGGAAATATACCTTTTTGCTTAAATCGTGGAAAGAGGAAAAAATAAGATGTTTTCTATTCTTCCAATACTGGCTAACTTTAATGGATTTCCATTTTATTGTAAGATTAAGGAAATTAGTGCCCTTTTGTTCTAAGAACAAAGATTGCTAGGCTTTACTTTGGCTGAGTCATTCTAGGGCAGACTCTAGAAACTTTAAAAAGAGGTGATGAGAAGGAGGTTCTGAATTTAAGAGAAGGGATGTTGAGATATTAAATCAACATAATCACCAGGAGAACCCAGGGTATAGCTTCTTTTTTTCAAGATTTGTTTTTTATAGATGTTCAGTTCAATATAGTAGGACTACTGAAATAGATTTATCTCTTTCTTCTACAAATAGGATAGGGTTTCATAGGCAAGACTTCTCTCCTTTTTTTCTTCCTGCTTTCTCTTGGCCTCTGTTGGAACAAAATGCTTCTCACTCCAGCTTCCGCCTTTATTACCTAGAGTAGCTACTTGCTTTATTCAAAGCCAAAAGCTAACACACCTGAAGGGGAAGAGATCTGGATTTCTCCTATTATTATTTCTGTAGTAATGTTTTGAACTGCTTGTATATATGGAAGGAGGACTTTACTTTTCCATTGAATTTGAAGAGACTGACATATAGTTTGGATACTTTCTTGTGGCTTAACTAACTTTTTTCTCATGAGTATCCTTTCTCTTAGTATTATCAGCCAACCAGATTAAAAAATAACCCTAGTTGCAAGATAACTTCTCCATATATAGAAACAACTTGACCTTTTAAAGTGAAAATTAACTTTTACCATCTGATCAGAATCTCTTTCTCGCCTGTGTTCATAGACTCTGGTAAAATTAAAAACAATGCTACTAATGCAAAACACACAAAGATTTGATATCAAACATATATATATATAGTATATGATTCAGAATTCTGCACTTATTAAAAGCTGGGTATCTATTTCTAGATATTTATCCCACATATATGTACATTTATGCAATAAAACATAAACTAATATATTTTCTCTTAGGGACTTCTAAGCTTGGATTTGTGCGGTTATGTAGGAGTTAATTAACCACCAGGTGGGACAACTGACAAAACAATGCAACATCACCCTTCTTAGAATATCATCATCCTTTCCAGAAATTTTTCTCCCTTCAAATTAAATGGGGTTAAAGAGGAAATAAAGATACAAATAATTTTGAAGAATAGCAAATCATAGTCCCTATGTGGTCCTTCAGTTCGTCACGCTCCAGGAAAACCTCAGGCAAAGTGTTTAAGGCTAGGAGGGGGTAGAGAGGGTGGGCAGTGGACACAAAAGACATTGTTCTATGAAAAGGAATGATTACATATGGCCCATACATACAGGATATTGTCTCGTCTGGTAATGAGGCGCTCACGACTATTAGATTGGCCTTTGTTCAGTTTATCCAAACTCCTTGACATACGCCACCTATTCTGCAAACGCCAACAGATGGGCCCAGGCCCAGCGCAGCCTCAGCACTTGATTTAAAGCAACAGCTGCTCTCTGCTCTTGCTCGGCTCGCCTGCCCGAGCGCAGCCCTTGCAGTGAAGATTTGCTCAGACAGCCTGGAGGAAATATTCGGTGGAAAGGCTCAGGTCACAGCTCTTGGCCTCTTAGAATTCTTAGAGAACTGAGCAAGTTACAAGGGCTGGTCATTTGGGACTTTTTGAGGTTCTTGCTACAGTGGAGTTACAAGCTCATTTATTCGTCTGGGCCCAAGAACTTATACCCCTGAGACTCTCATACCGTTGGTCAAAACCTGTGATTTTCTTTGGGTGCTCTGTCACTTTCTCTCTTGCTTGTCAGCCTCTCACGGGGTCGCTTTCCCACTTTTTTCTTGTCTAGGGGAGGAGCGCTACATTTGCTGGTACTGCTGGAGGACGTTTAGATACCCCAACAGCCTTAAGGCACACCTGCGTTTCCACTGCGTCCTCAGCGGCGGCGGGGGCCGCGCCTTCCTGCACCACGAGCACGCGGCTCGCCAAGGCGCCACCCAGGCGGCCGCGGATGGCTTCGGCCTCTCCCCGAAGCCCACGGCGCCAGACTTCGCCCCACCTGCCCAGGCAGGCACTTTGCGACCCCAAACACAGGCTCCGCAGCCTCCCCAGGCCTGCGGCGCCCGGGAGAGCGTCAAGCGCGAGACCTCTTCCGCGTCCTCGGCCCCCTCGCCGCCCCCGGCCAAGTGGGCGCCGCCTAAAAGGGGCAAGGAGCAGCAAGACCGAGCCCCGGACGTGAGCGGGGCCGCCCGAGCACACAGCCACTTCCTCGGCATCGTGGGCGGCGCTCCAGCCGGGAGCGGCAGCCTGGCCTTCTACCCCGGGGTGCGCTCGGCTTTCAGACCCGCGGGCTTGGCGCGGGCGGCCGCGGCCGTGCACGGCGACCCCTACCGGGAGGAGGGCGGCGGCAAG